TTTCTTTCTTCTAGATACATCCCAAATTCTATTGCTGTGTGCCTCAAGAGAAAGTTCTTAAATTAAGGACCCAGAGCAAATCTTGTAAACCAATCTATCCCCAACTGAATTGCTCTGAACACTAGTGAGTCTACTTGGAAAAACAAAGATAGATTTTGTTGTCAAGTGAGTTTTGGAAACACTGGGCTTCATTTCTTCCATGTAGAGGACTCCTGGTACTTGTCCTTGTATTTAAACCTCTGTTTGTCATAATGGTTTTCTGAAACGTCTGACCTCAGAGCCCAGATAGACCACCACCTACTTTTCCTTTTATTATGCATCTCTTAGCTCCACTTCCTACCCACAGTAGTTGTGAAGGCATTTTTTCAGGGCACAGGAAGGTCGGTACTAGTAAGTGAGGGAGTGACCTGGCAAGACTGTTTACAGTGGGATGGGTGGGGGCTGTCCTCCTGAGCTTGGGTGGTTGAGGGTTCACCGCATGGTTCAGCGAATAGACACTAAGGACACGTACTGGATCAGGGCTGTGGTCACAGAGAGAAGAAAATGGAATACAATGCTGCAAGGATGGGCTAGTCTCTGATGGACAACAGATCGATCCTATGATAGAACTCAAATGGCTCTATACCCAAAAGACAGAGCCACTTGCATCAAATCAACTGTCTCAAAGTAGCTCTTAGTTCTTCAGTCTCTCATTTTATCTTGGGGACAACCATGACTTTAGCTAAAATCAACAGGCTGCCATATGCTAGGCACTGTGCTCTACTGGTTTGGAAAGTGGTGTGGGGAGAGGAGTGCTATTTCTTCAGGAAGGGAGCAGGAGGCTGACTCAGGAGCATTTGGGGAATTTCTGTTTTGGCACGCTGAATTTCAGGCATCAAAGAGATACATAAATGAAGATGTTCCAGGATAATTGGAAACGCAGGCAGAGTTTAGAAGATACCTCTAATTTGGGAAAACAGGTTTGAAAATTTTTGCACCAAAATAATACAGTAGATTATTAACCCTGACCATTGTGCGTGGGTCTTGGGGGGGAGGTGCGAATTTCCCCTTTAATTTTTGAAAAGAAAAATTTCGTGATTAATCATGTAAATTTGTCATTTGAAATTTACATAATTTTTAGAACCTTTGAATTAATTACACTTGTACCACAGAAGTTCTTCCTTTTTAAAAAATAGCCATTTTTACCCTTGTTATTTCTCCCACCCAGCTTTTTTCAGGCTGTCAGAAGCACAAGCTGCGGCGGTGACGATAGGAAGATGACGGGTGACATGCCAGCCCTAATTAGAGACTTGATTGCTCCGTCATAAAAGGCCCGTGTGTGATCTGGATGGTTCTGGGTTGTCACAGAGGATGAATCGAATGTGTCCACACCTTCATTTCAAAATGTGAGCGTGCATTATTTATATTGTATTTCATGGCTATAATTAAATATGTGTCTGAGGAAATGATGTCCCCAAAGACAGTCGATTTTATGTTCAATCTGTATGTGCATTTGTAAAACTAATTTGTCCTCATTAAAAATTTTTAAGGATTTATTTGAGCTAAACTCAGGAGGCCTCTCTGGGTATAAAACTCACAAGATAGAAAACAAAAGTCTAATTTCAGTTTTCACCAGTAAACGTCAGTGCCTGAAGCACTGAGCTAGCTATTATTGTAGTGAATCCAGTCGGGCTATAAAAATAAAGAGAAGACATTTTCCTCGTCAGACAGTGCTTTTTAACCTGTCTGGAAGACTTGGGGATAAAACCAGCGAACACAGGGCCATCTGAGCTTCTAGTACTTAGGAAAAGAACTTCAGTGAAACCTAAAGCCTAGAGAATTGGTGGATCCATTTTTCTTCTTAACCTATAGAAAACTGGAGGCTATTTAGCTTACTTTTTAAAAATATTACCTGCCATTTCTTCCTGTTTTCATTTTCAATATTTACTAGATATATGGAGCGCCGGTATTACAGTGTCAGAGATCTCCTCTCAAGTGGCATACATTAAGTGTGTTCCTTGTCAGTGCCAGCGTAGATTGGTTGACTTTCAATCAGACCCACAATTGAGAGGAAATATTAAAAATAATCTGCCTATCTCAAGTTTTCTATGAGTCTCTTCATTGTCATTGTCGGTAGCTGCATTATTAAAATATTTACCCAAAGTTCATGTTAGCATTTTTGTCTATTCCTAGGATGAACCCACAGGTTCTCCTACTTATGCTATAATCAATGGTTCGATGTGATATGTTCGCAGATGTATTAGAGTGAATTTAATACTGAAGTCATAATGTCGTTGATATCTGTCAGTGAATATGCAAAGAATGTTCGTATCTGAAGTGAATGAGTGGCTTCTGAGGGATATGAGAATCTCGTTCCTGTGTTTGTGGATTTTGTTGCTCTTCAAGGAGGAAGTTGGTAAGACCAGCTGGCCTGGCTGTTTAGCCAGCTTCAGAGGCCAGTACCCTCACAAGGCCAGGCAATGATTCCTCTCTTTGTTTGGTATTTTCAGAGACCATTAAATTACTTTGTCCACATTGGGAAGCAAAGAACCCTATTCGAGGGGTTCCCAATCCTCAAGAGCTCATTTCTCACTGGTGTTACCCCATGCTCCTAGGTGGCCCACTTCAGCAGACCCAGCTGCAGTAAGGGAATGGCCAAGAGTCTGGAGCTGAGGGCAGGCAGGGTCACCAAGGAGCAAGTGGGTGTCATGAGGCTGCCGTATTCTATCCCAGGGTGATATTGACTCAATTTTAAAGTTTAAACTTAGGGAAGGGTAAATAATCAGAATTAGGCAGAGGATTTCAGGTTGAACGACCAGTTGCTGAAGGAGGCTGAAGTGGTCACCTCATAGATATCCACTTGCAAACAGGCAGCCACCAGACCAGGATTCAGCTGCCCATGGAGTGCCAGTATACAGACAGGGCCAGAAGGTCAATGGTAGGACATGGGAACACTACTGGACAGGAACAAAGGCATTCACATCACCTATACAGGAGACCAAAGGAGGAGATTCTGGGCAGAGAAGACCAGAAACCAAGTCAGTGAGACAGTTCAGGAGGACATTAATGTCAGACCCAGAGAGAGGCCTCCTGAAAGAGAAGTGCGTTGAATTGCAGAATGCCTACAGCTCCTGCCAGTTCCCTGGGGTGAGATGAAGTCGAAAGCAAGACCACAGGGAGGTCAAGGGGCCGGGGACAGCAGCTAAGGTAGAACCTTTCATGAAAATTGTTTGCACAATTTATTGGCTCTCGGCATATCTTAGATACAAAATAATTGAAGATCATCAATAATTCTAGGCAAGTGGAGATTCTGGAACTTCCCAGGAGGGCCATGATTGAGAACTGCTGGTCTTCTGTCATGTCCTCAGGATTTGCTTGGGTACACAGAAGCTCTCTGCATTTTCCTACTTTATCTACTTATAGGTACCAATTTATTGCTCTTTATTTGATGTTTTCAGAGAGCATTAAAGAACCTCTGTTCATAAAATAACACGAATAGCCACCTTTGAATGGACATGGGTACTTTCATGTTCTCAGAAGAAATACTAAGATAGCTATAAATTAGAAAGATACAAAATGAAATTATTATTAGATAAATTTAATCACTGGCTTCTAAAATGTAAATATAGAAAAAAATTTAAAAAATTTAGGCTTCATGGTAATCTTTAATTTTATTATTCTTCAAATTTACTGCAAGACTAAAAAGTAAAAATATTATGACCCATACAGGCATTTTCCAGTTAGAAATGAAGAACAGAATTTCACTTTATAATTTTCAATGTGAAGTTTATTATTTGTGACACTATGAAACAACCTATTATAAAATAGCAGGTCTATTTTTGTTTTACAAAAAAGAACATTTTTTTGTGGGTGATAAATTCAGAAAATAGTGCGTTGACAATACCATTTAGAATTTTTTGGGTGCTGGAGATCAAATCATGCACGCTAACCCATTCTGCTGAGCCACATCCCTGCTCTGTGTCTTTTCAAGTAACTGCTGTAACCCAAGATGTGAGTTTTCAGAGCTGTGCCCTCCTGTTACACTGGCCCACTCAGTCAGGCTAGGCTCTGGCTCCATGTTTGCTTTGGGGAAATCGCTCTCCCTACCCTGCCTTCCAAGGAATCCCGCCCAGTGGTGAGTGAGTAATGGGGACTGAGGATGGACTTACAGGAGAGGACCTGCATCTCACCCGTGGTGCTCTGGGGTCAGCCCCTCCAGGTTGCGAGAGCCGGCAGTACGCCTCTCTTCTCAGTCCACGGGCACCGAGCCAGCATCCGCAGCTGACGGTCAGCCACCAAGGGAGGGCTCACACTGTGGGTGTGAGCAAACACTGGAAAGCAGGCCTTATCTTTGGTGAAGCTGGTTTAGCAGCCTACCACGAACACACACCAATTCCCCATCAACCTGGTGTCCCTAGTCTCATCTCTCTCTCTGCCTGTCACTTCCTCTTCCTTCTAACTTCCCCTACAGTCTTTATCTACCTCAATGCTGTACCCTGCAATACCTTCCTCTCCACAATACCATTTCCCCATAACTGTTACTTTTAGATATATTTTAACTTTTAAAGTCGTTATAGGTTCATAGCAAAATTGAGTAGTAAGTAGAGTTCTACTACCAAAGAAATGCAAAGTTGTCACTAAAGGAAGAGGGAAATGTGCTGAGTTAAGTAACCTTGTAAATGAGTGGAACAGATAACACTGAAGGCAAAAGGAGCCACTAAGTGCTGAAGTCTATTTGACAAAGGTTCCTCCCAAGAAGGATGGGCTGGCATTGCTAACACCACTGTCCCTGTAGACTAGAACTGGATTGTCAGGTAAATTGATATCAGAGCCATGTTTCTCACTGTTGGAGGGAAAAGGCAAGGGAAATCTGCAAGAGGGACTCGTGGGGCAGTGCATTAGAGTTAGGCATGAAAGAATGAACTCATGCTTAGCTTAGTGCAGATAGATGGTCGCACACAGCAGTGTGTTTGTGCATGGATGCAAGTGTGTCTGGGTGAAGAAGAGACACATCTATCTCTGCTTTGTCAGCTGAGAAGAGCTGGAAGCAAAGGCCCTGGGGAGCAGTGAGCCCCTGGAGCCTGGATTTCAGGTTCAATGTCATTCTTCAAAAGACAAAGCAGGGCACCTTGGAGAAATGGCTGACTCTAGAACTCAGCAAGGAAATTTATAAGGTAAGCCCAGAACATCTGGAGAGAGTGAGACAGTGATTTTCAACAATGCAATAGAGTGAGCATGTCAAAGGGACTTGGAAGATACCTAGAGAAGGCTTCAATGACCAAGGTTGGAATAGTTTGAACAACAAATAAAAGTGTTGGATTTTAACCCAAAGCATAAAACAAATACTCATAGGTCCAGACTGATAGAAATGATGGAATAAATTAATAAATAATGAGAGAAGACAAATCTCCTACACAGTAAAATTTTGAATAATTTATATAGAAACTCTGCTCTCAAGGAGGCGGAGAGTATCGCACCACTGTGGCTGTGCATGTGGACATCCTGTCAAGATACAGAATAGAAAGGCGCAACACAGCAATTAATGTTAAGTGGACAAACTGCCTGAGCCAGGGGGTGAAGGTGAACATCCAGAGAGACAGTTGATTGACACTGTGTGCCACTCAGAATGTGATGAGAATTCAGTTCAGCAAATTAAACAAAAAGAGAGAAAGGAAACAAAAATTATATGCTCATATCAATTTATGCCCAAAACTTGATTAATTGGACCAGACAAAATCCAACACTTATTCTTGATTAAAAGCCCTCCACCAGTTAGGAATAGAGAGGAATTACATGAACTTGATAAAGAACATCTGCAAAAATCCTACCGCTAACACCTTATTGTGGAAAACTGAATTAAGCATTAAAAGGGATTGAGGAAATGGATATTGGATAGAAAGAAATCCCTGTTTACTTGAGGCATGATTATCTGTGTAGAAAATGCCAAGGAATCTATACAAAATAAAACCCTAGAGCTAAGAAGGATATTCAGCAAGGTTGTAGGACAAAAGGTCAAAAAATGAAAATCAATCATGCTTCTAAATATCAGCTTTTTAAATGGATGTGTGAATATCAAAGTAAAAGCACAGCACTACCAACAAGTAACCCCCCCAAAAAAGTGAACTTCCTAGGTATTCCCTACCCACGTGTGCAGAGTGCTTACGGTGAAAGTTCTGAGAAGCTGATGAGAGATTACACAGTGTCCAAGTAGTCGCGAAGCACGCTGTGTTCACGGATGGGACTCAACACAGAAAACATGGTCCTTTTCCCCAAAGTGAACAACATAGTGAAGTTATCAAGTGTCCCTCAAAGGACCAAGAATTTAATGAAGTTCTTGTCAAAGGCATTTTGACAGATATAGGCAAGATTTTACCATACAAAAGCTAAAATCGTCCTGGCAAGGAGGAAATATGTGCAAAAAATAAATCTACACCCCCTCAAGACCTGCCATAGCTACCTACGTTCGTCAGTACCCCTGGGCACTGGCTGAGAGGCTTACAGAGACAGGAACAGAGTCATAAAAATATTCCCACCTGAGTTTTAAAAAAAGTCAAAACACAATTTCTGGAGATATAGCTCAATTGGCAGAATACTTGGTGAGTATATGTAAGACCTTGAGTTCAATTCCCCGCACCAATAAACAAATAAATAAAACCATGATTTCACAGAGGAAGAAAATCACTTTTTTTACAAATGGCATTTCAGCAGTTCGACTTCCACAGGGAGTAAAGACTCAACCAAAAACCCACATCACACACACACAAAAAATAACCCACAGTGCAATGGAAAATAAATGTAAGACATTAAACTACAAACTTTAAGATAAATAGATCTTTGTGAACTGGTACTGGACCAAGAGGTCATAGACTTACAGCCTAAAGGTAGATCCACAGAATGAGTAGTTGACTAGTCAAATCTCATAAAAATTCAGAAGCTCTCCTTCTGAAAATTTTTTGTGAAAAAAGCAAAAGTTACAAATAAGGAAGTAATTGTAGATGATAAAGCACTAGCATCTGGAATAAATAAATAACTCAAGAGTAAAGAAATTGAAAACGCAACAACAAAACAGGCTCTCAGGATCTGCACATGGCAAATGAACACATGAAAAGATGTCTGATGCTATAGTCACCCGGGAATGCAAATTAATGTCACAACATGACAACATCCCCACACACTTGTCAGAATGGCTAGAAGCAAGCGGGGTGGAGAATGAGAGCACCCAGTGCAGATAGAGGTAAGGAGACTCTGAATCTCTAGTGCACTGCTAGTAAGAATGTAAAATGGTGCAGTCACTTTGGAAAATAGCTCGTTACTTTCTTAAATAATTAAACGTGGAAAACTACTAGGTTATACAGAAAATTGTAACATTAGGCATTTATGCTAGGGAAATTGAACTGTCTACAAAATTTCCTAGACAAAATGTTAATAAGCAGATTTATTTGCAGTAACCACAATCTTGAATTAGCCCAGATGTCCTTCAATGGGGGAATAGTTCAGAACATCACCCACTGTAGTTCTTTTGTGGTCTATGCGAATCATATCAATGTCAAGGAATACTTGAGTAATAGATGGAATGAACTATAGATACTTGCAACTTGGTTTAATCTCCAGGGAATCAAGCTGAATGAAAAAAAGAAAATCTAATTCCCCAACATTGAGTACTACATATTCCGTATAATATTCTTATATGACATTCATTCTAGAAACGACAACATTTTAGAAATGGGGTAGTAAAATTAGTGGTAGCCAGAGGCTTGGGACCAGGGGTGGGGATATAGGATGCCTACCTCACTGCAGGCCACAGAAGGATCTTCGCAGTGGTGGACTGGACACCATTTTGGCTACTGTGGTAGTGGACACTTGAGTCCACACATGTGATAAAACTGAATAGAAACTACATCACAAACACACACACACACACACACACACACACACACACACATAATGAGGACAAATAAAGCAGGGATCTGAATAAAAATGGTGAATTTTATTAATGTCAATATCTTGATTGTGATATTTAATTCTAATCCTTATAAATTGCTAATAGTAGTACAAATTGGCTAAATGTTGACAGGTCCTCTTTTATGAACCTATAGAGAAGTTTTTGCCCATATTCCGAGGACATGACATCACGGGGTGGTGGGGTTCCTTGTTCTGATCCCTTGAAGTGATAGGAGACAGGTGCAAATGTTGGGAACACAGGTTAAGAGAATAATTCTACGAAATGGATCTGCTCTGTTGACCCTCATCTGTTTTCTTTTCTAAGATACAATTTACCTGCAGCCCTGCTTGGCTTAAGTGGACAGCATTTATGCTACATTCCTCAGCAAACTACCTGTTATCTGCAAGAAAAATGCAGGCCTGAAATAATTCTGATAAGAGGGACCCAAGTTACCCCAAAGAGGAGGATTTTGTGACCTTTACGCAGATCAGATCCCAGGACTCGGGAAGATGAGGCAATGCTACCTAACCTTAACATCTGTAAGAACAGGTTCCGGTTCACAGGGGCCAAAGTGGCCTAGAGCTGGCCTGCCAGTGGGAACTTGAAGTCTTATGTCGTTTTGCTGTTGGTGAAAATCAAGAGGTGGACCTGGGCAGGACTCTCTGGAAGCTTCCCTGGAACTCCCCATAAAACTGGAGTGCAGGAGAGACATGCTATCTCTCTGAGAAGATCCACTCTGTCCCTCAAGAGTCTCCCCTTTCCCCTTTCCCATCCCTTCTAATAACTCCGAGTCACGTGTCTGAAGTCTTTCTGATTTGATTGCAAGAGCTGGGATTTGAAAGGGGGACTTTGCACTGACTGGGTTTCCTGGAAGACCCCAGCCCAGCAACAGAAGTACAGCAGAGGGCCTCTCCAATCAGCAGTACCACGACAAGGGGATGATTCTGCTGCTGTGAAACTCAGAGATTTTAGATTATTCTTACAATCTTTTAAAAACTATGATGTCTTTTTCTTTGGATCCAAGTCAGCATAATGACACTCTTCTCTCTAGAGATAGGATTTGAAATAATCTGCAGCCACTGTACAAAACAGCTGAACGTGGCTGGGCAGAGGGCTAGCACCTCATTATCTTCCCGGGGATAATGCTGAGTGTGCCTGCGACCCGGCACTGGGCTGGCACTGTGCTTGGGTTCTCTTCATCCCTTCTCTACCCTTGGGAATCTTGCATTTCTGTAATTGAGCATGGCCACAGTTGTTTGATATGCCCATGTTTAAACTTCAGTCTTTGTTTTCACTGTCTTTAGAGTTTCTTGGACTTTGTGTACATCAGAAGGAATGACCTTCAACTATCTTCTTTCCGTGCCCTTTTCGGTCACTATGTTGCCCTTTGTTGCTGGGTAATGATTCCAGCTATTGTTTCCACTTCAGATAAAATGTGTCATTTATTCCCAGTAAACCTTCTAGGGAGGTATTTTTACTTTTCATTTATAAGTTTGAAAGGGGAGATTCTGAGTGATTTCCTAAGCAGTAAGCAAGACAGCCCAACTGGAACCCCGGGATTCCGATGCTAAGTGGAATGTCCTGTCCCTGGTAATCAGAGTTGCAGGGGTGAAACCAACCTCCCTGGGTGAGCAGGTGGGAGAGCTCTGAGACCCTCCCAAGGGGGCTGCTCCTCCCGACAGAGCTCCCCATTGTCAATGGCGTCCTCCAGCACAGCTAAAGCTTCGTGGAGCCAGGATTTCCTTAACTTGGAAAGCCTTTCCTGAGAGGGCTGTTTTAAGATGGTGCTTCCTGGGGTCCTGCACATAGGCTCAGTAGTTCTGAGATGGTGCTTGCCTGTGGTGAGACCAGTCTTCCAAACCCACACGCGCTGCCTCAGAGAGGGATGGGCAAGTAACTGGACCCCGGGAGCCTGCTACACGGCTGGGCCTTCCACGAAACTGAGGCAGCTAGAAGGCCCCTCCCCACCCTAATTCTTGAGATCAGGCCAGAAAAACGTCTTTCATAGAGGAGGACAGCGTGTCCCTCCGCCTTCCAGTGTACTGGGGGTCTCAGGGAGGTTCCCGAGAGTCCCACCTGCATCCACCTCTGGATTTGATGGGCAGCACAGGAACTGCACGGACCTCCCGGGAGAGGGGGTGGCGTCCTGTTCCTGGGGTAGTTTTTAAGGACATGGAGACCCCCTGTTTTGTCTCCATTTCCTGTCCCCTTAATCGGCTTATTTCCTTTGAAAAGCCCCCATTGAACTTTCTTTGGAGGGTCTTGATGTTTTGGCTCTGGGGAGCATGTGGGTGGGCCATAGTTTTGGTGACCAAGGGCGGGTCCAGACCACTTGGTAGGAGTTTTCCTTAAGAGGAAGCAGCCATGACTGGGGGAGGTTTTAAAATACAAAGCCCCGTCTTCCAGGTGCTTCCCGGTGAGATAAACCTCCCTGTGGTTTTCAGTCCCTTCCATTATCCTTCCCTGTTCCCACTTATGGCTGATGCGTGCCATAGCTGCGGGTTGAGAAGGGAGCTTCACTCTAAAGCCAGGTTACCCACGGGTGAGGTGGAGAGGTGCGCAGCATGCTGACGGCTCTGAGCACGTGCATCCAGGGTCTGCCCTGCTTCATCCCCGTGGTCTTCCAGTGCTTCGCATCCCTGCTGCAGCTCATTTACTGTCTTTTCCAGGCACCAGACATGTCTCAGCTGATGTCACTCTCAGGGGAAGCCAGTTTCCTTTTGTGGATGAACTGAATTGGTCATGCAGGCATGCTCATAAAAACCAGGGTGAGACGGAAGTGTGTTCACCTCCATCACCCGTGTCTAAGAAAGGATGCATTCAAACGAAGAGCCCCCCAAATCTGAAGAAGGATAGTATGGGTGTATTTTCACGACTATGTTTTAAATGCAAGGTGAATTATGCTCTTTGTTCCCTTCTCCTCCTCCTCCTCCTCCTCCTCCTCCTCCTCCGTCTCCTCCTCCTTCTCCTTCTTCTTCTTCCTTTTTCTTTGAGGTATCCCTTTGACAGCCTCTCTCCTGGATTGTTAGGGAGAGAAAAGCTGCCCTCCACCCCACCATGGCTGTGCTCATGGCTGAGCACCTAGGGGAAGACAGGTGACAGGTTAATGAGGAAAAGCATTAATTTGGTTCAATATAAACTTAAACAGCACCAGAGACTTCCTAAAGAAACGAGGACCAGAGAAGCAGGGACGGCATGTGCTGGGCCTGCTGGCAGGGGCCGTGGGCCTCCGGGGAGAAGGATATCTGGACCAAGGTGGGGTCTAGTGCATCACGGTGGCATGGCCAAGCAAGGTCTGCTCAGGTTCTTCTTGGTGACCCACAGGATGGCGTCCCTTACCTGGGGGTCTTCTCACCTGCTTCAGGGAAAGATCTGAGAATTTCTTAACAACCTGCTTCAGGGGAGAAGGGCTGTGAAGGCCAGGGACACTTTGATGCCTCTTCTGTTTTCTCAGACTCAGAGGCAACACGTTTTAGGACAGTGTGTCCTGAACCCCATCAAGTGACATGCTGCCTCGAAGCTGGAGGATCTGATATGAGTTCCTATTATACCCTGGTCTCTGGAGTTACCAGCTTTGATTTCTTTATGCCTCAGATGGGAAAACGAGTAATAATTTAAATTAAATAAAATATATAAATGCTTGTAGCTCTGGATCTGATTAAATTAACCATTTGAAACTATGGTCGGAACTATATTTCAACCATAGTTTCAAATGGTTAATTTAATCAGCGATTATTGGTAATTTAAAAATTAGATGTCTAAGGAACAAATAATCATAAAACCAGCATCCACATATCCACTCCTAATTAAGAAAACGAATTACCTATGTCCTTATTATTCTAGTTCTCCACATAAAACTCTTGAAACCATTTTCTTCCCTCGTACTCAGAGGTAACTATCATTCTGAATGTAGAAGCTCTTGCTTGGGTTGGTAGGTTTCCACATAGGAAGTGAGATCTTACGGTTTGCATCTAGAACATGGCCCAAAGGCTCACATATGAAAGGACTGATTCCCAGACGCAGGGATGTTCAGAGGTGGGTGGATGGTGAAGGCTCTGACCTCATGGATGGATCAGTGGGTTGTCTCACTGAGGGAGGCATAGTTTTAAATGTACCATTAGGGTTACAGGACTGGGTCCTTCTGGGAAACCGAGGCAGCCCCAAGGCCCCACTCCAAACCCCAGTTCTTACCACCAAGTCAGAAGGATTTCAGACAAGTCTCTCAGAATAACAAACACAGGTTAATTAGAAGGGATGGAGAGGGAAAAGGGGACGGTCCAGGGGTGACAGATGTCCTCACTGCCCTCCAGTTTTTTCAGTGTCTCAGGGACGTTTCCAGGTAGTCCTGCCCAAGTCTACCTCTCGACTTGTGACTGACAGCGGGACAACATCAAGTCCCCATTGGAGATGACAACTCTGGGCACTTTGGCTCTCTGAGGTGGGACAGTGGCCCTCCTGAAGAGGAGAGAGGCCTGGGCCCTGCAGAGGTCTGTCTCAGGAGAGTCAGAGACTGTTTGTAGAATATTCTGAAGAACAACATTTGTAATAAACATCTAGAATATACACATAAGGGGAATACGGGAGTCGCTTCACAGTGTGGCCCCGTGACTCACCTTGTCTCGCGTTTGGCTAACAGCAGTAAGTATGCATTTGCTCAGTTAAGACACAAACATTGGATTTCAGCAAGTTTTGCACCCTGTGTATTCCCAGGTAGAAAATAGGTGTACCATTGCAAACTGTGTAAAAGGAGATTTTAAACTACTTTTAAGCTGTTCAGCAGCCTCCCATGAAGCTGCTGTCTGCACCTCCTGACCTGTCCATCACTTTGGCTCATGCTGACTGGTTCTAACTGGAACCTGTTCTTACAGAGGTTCTGCTTAAGGGGAGTTACCCTCACCACCTGAATTCCAGAATCTGGTCTGTGTCAGGGTACCAAAAGCCCCTCTTCAGGTGACCTGCATGTTGCCTGTAGATCACGGGTCGTTCACTAGGAGTATAAGATACCCTGTGGACTTAGGTCAGATACAGTGGCCATGTTACAGAAGTGTTCCCTCACCTCATGTCCCCACCACTCACATCTGACAGTCGCCCACAGTAGGTGTTGTGGAAAGTGCAGGAGGGGAGACCTAGCCGCATCGGGTACTTGGGCATGCGCTTGGGGACTGTAACTTGTCCCAGGCTCCCTTCTTTCGTGACAATCCTCTCTCTGTGCTTCCTCACTGCCATGACATGCACAGTTTTGCTTCGCCTTACCTTCTGCCATGATGCTCTGCTCCAGCCCAGGCAAAAGCAACAAAGCTGTCTGACCTTGGGTGGAAACCTTCAAAATCATGAGCGAAATACATCTTTCCTCCTCTAAGCTGTTTTTCTCAGACATTATGTCACACCAACATAAGACTATGTGTTTTGTTTTAACCTCTATCAAATTTTATGTACATGGAATTAGATTTCACGTGCTCTTCTGTCACTTGACTTTTTGCTCACAATTCTACATTAGGAGGTAATAACTACAACGGGGAGGGGGAGAAAAGCCACAGTGAGGTGAGGATGGTTGAGTCCTGATACTGAGGGGCTGAGGGAATGGCAACATTTCGAGCAGGATTTCAGAAGGTTTCTCACTGAGGGCTGTCTTAGGGCCCTTGTGGTCGATTTGGACAACAGGGTATCACTGCTGCCATCAAACAGCTTGTCAAATTCCCATCAAAAGTCTGGTTTGAGACTTCTAGGAATTGCTTTGAATATATATGTCAAATCTTTACAAAGCTCACATGTTTAGATACTGATTCAAAAATCTATTATTTGAATATAATCCTTTTTGTCTTTCTTTAGTATATTTCATCAAAATTATATAATTTCTTCCAAAATTTTTGTACATTAAAAAATTACTTTATGAAACAAATGATTTTAATGTTTATTGAAATTGATATTTTTTATTACATTGTCTCATGGATACATTTATATAGCTATTTTGATTCTAACTTCAGTCTTATTAATTCTAATACTTTACATATGTGAATAATTATTTCTCCTTTTATTTCAAATATTTATTTCCTTTTTTTTTTCTTGCTTCAATGCTTTGCCAAAATCCTTCAGGACAAAACTGGATAAAATACTATTAAAAGGATTCATGGACTTCATCCTGATTACAATTATTTAACCTCTGAGCATGGTAATTGTAGGATTATCACCTTAAGAAGGTCATTTCCCCTCAGTTTTCTGGAGAACGTTTTTTGTCGTGAATGGTTGTGAAATTGTCTCACTGTTTTTTCAACATTTACAAGATGATCATGGGATTCAAA